GTTTGTTTGTGTTGTTTTGTGTTTGTGTGTGTGTGGTTTGTGTGTGTGTGTGTGTGTGTGTATGTACACCTACACTGGTGTGTAGGTGGGGTGTGTGTGTGTATTTATGCACACCTGTGTGTAGGTAGGGTGCAGTGGGCACATGCTACAGCACTCCTGTTTGAGGTCAGAGGACAACTTGCAAGTGTTTGTTCCCTCCCTCACCATGTGGAACTTGGGCTTTGAACTTAGGTCAACAGCCTTAGCAACAAGTAATTTTACCTATGAGTCATCTTGTTGGTCTGGACTTCTCCGTTCTTTCTTTCTTTTTCCTTCTGGATAGTGACTTGGAACTTGTACTGTGACTTAGCTGTGAAATGTATGCTCTTAGGTGCTCAATTACTTCTTTGTAATTGAACTTCAGGAGAAGCAAATGGCCCAGCATAGTGTTGCATGCCTTTAAACTCACAGCTTGGGAGGCAGAGGCAGGTAGATCTCTGTCTGGTCTACACAGTGAGCTCCAGGACAGCTGGGGCTACATAGACCCTGTCTAAAAACAAAACAGAATAAGAGAAGTAAATGCTCTAGAATTCTAGGTTTGAGCCCCCCCCCCACACACACACACATCCCATGGATGTCTCTGTCTCCTGTTCCCCTTGCTTCAGTTATGCAGTTGCGGGCCATCCCAGGTGAAGCTGGAGATGCTGCAGTGCTGCCCGGCCTCCCACAGGAAGGACAGGAGAAGGTGCTCGACCGCCTGGACTTTGTGCTGACCAGTCTTATGGCACTGCGGCGGGAGGTAGAGGAGCTTCGGAGCGGCCTGCAAGGCCTGGCTGGGGAGATTGTTGGGGAAGTCCGGTGAGTGACCTGGTCTTTTGCTTTGCCCAGTCCCTCAACTATTCCTGGCTCCCACAGCTTTTTCAGCTGGAGTGTGTTCTGCCTTTTCTGGTCTCTCTAAGGAACAAGCCCGTTTTATTGTTGCTAACCCAATGTGGAAGAAGCTGCGTATCTGGTTCCTTCTCCTTCCCAAGTGTCTGCTGCCCCTGTGCCCTTTGGTCTACTGTAGCAGTGCAACCTCTTTGTTCTTCCTAATTTAGTCTGCCAAGCAGGTGGCTCCCTTGCTCTCCTGAGAGTAAAGACCTAGTGTGTTCTCCTTCCTTGGTCCTTTACTGAGGGAGGAGTGAGGGGAGACAGACTATATGGGTCCTAATGTGTCCTCTGGGATGTGACCTGCTTTCCAGATCTCATATAGAAGAGAACCAGAGAGTGGCTCCCCCGCCCCCCCCCCCCCCTCGCCGCGTTCCTTGCCCCGCCCCTTCCCTTGCGCCTCCTTTCCACTTCACCGCCTCCTCAGGGGCTGCATTCACAGATGCGGAGAGTGAAGGAGGGTGAGTGGCCGGCCTCTCCCGAGGCAGTTACAGCTGCAGCTGCATTAGACTTGTCAAAAGATTATTTATCAAAATCCAAACCAATGTGCCAGAAATAATGTTTGAATAAAAGTAGGGGTATGACTAAATGGAAACAACATCCCTGATTATGCCATTCAGACAAACAGGAATGCTAGCAGTTGTTACGTTGTACATCCACTACTTCTCTGAGTTGCCTTTTTATATTATTTTTAATTTTATGCATATAAGTTCATTGCTTGTATCCCTGGGGCCTGCAGAGGTCAGAAGAGGGCACTAGGTCCCCTAGAACCAGAGTTACAAACGGTTGTAAGCAGCCATCCATGTATGTTCTGGGAACTGAACTTGGGTCCTCTGAAGGAGTAGCAAGTGCTCTTACTTGCTAAGCCATCTCCCCAGCCTAGGGCTTTTTTTTTTTTTTCTTTTCCATCATTTTTTTTATGGGCATTTTTTGTGTCATCACAAGGGCTTCCTAAACATTATTTTATGACTTCATTTCTTTCTTTGAGTGGTGGAGCAGGGTGTGCCCAGGCTGTAGGCCTGCCATGCCCTCCCTTTCCCCAGGCGTCACTCTCCTCACCAGGCAGTCTGGTCCATGCTCCCTTGCATCAGTACAGTGGGGAAGTGACTCTCAGGTGCTCAGCAGATCTGATATAGGATTTACCATGAGGTGAGACAGCAGTGGTCAGGGGAAAGGCTTTTTAACTTTAAGCCATAGCTCCGTTCTGAATCTTTGTTCTCAAGGACAGTGTGGTGCCAGTCACCCAGCTGGTCTTCGAGACTTAAAGGCTGATTTTTCTCCTGGGTGGATCTGTTGACCTTTGTTCCTCCTCAAGGAATAGACTGGGTCAGAGAACAGCCAAGATCTGTCAGGTCAGAGTGGCTGAGCTGACTAGAAGTTAAAATCAGCCTCTCAGGATACTGCCGAGCAGATTCCTCTCTTTAGCAGGCAGCTTGTAAGGCTGGTACCATTGGTTTACTTCCTCTGATACTGTGCTAAGCACCTTAGCGGTGTTTTTTACTTAATCCTCATGATAATCCTGTGACCTGGGTTCTGTTTCTCAGATGGGGAACTTGAGATTATTGAGGTTTGACACCCAGACCAAGGGCAGACTTAGCCTGTCTGCTGCTAATCCCATTGTCCTGACAATCTGGTTTATCTGCAGCTGTGTTTGAGTCTGTGATCTGGGGAGTGGCTTGGTCTTCAGGGCATGTAGGACTACCATGGTCACATTTGTGGCATGTAGCCCTTGGGAGTTCTTCCCATTGACTGAGATGCCACAGCTCAGGAAAGGCCCAAGGTGCAGTAATAGTTTTCTTACTTTAGTCTTGTTTGTTTAGGGGGCTGTTATTTTCTCCTGCTTCTTCCTATTTTCCTTTTCATGCTGGGGATCAATCCCAGGACCTCCCATGTGCTAAGCAAGTGCTCTGCCATGGGCTTACATTCCTAGTCCCTCATTTGGTTTTTTTTTTTTTTTCCTACAAAAATTAAGAATAAAATTACTAGCTGGGTGGTGGTGGTGCAGGCCTGTAATCCCAGCACTGGGAAGGCAGAGACTGGTGGATTAAAAAAAGAAAAAAAGAGTAAAATTACTATCCCTTCTCATATTCCTGCCATTGGTCTTTAATGGCAGATTTTTTTTTTTTTTTGGTTTTTTTTTTTTTTTTTTTTGAGACAGGGTTTCTCTGTGTAGCTCTGGCTGTCCTGGAACTTTCTCTGTAGGCCAGGTTGGCCTCAAACTCAGAGATCCGCCTCTCTGTCTCCCGAGTGCTGGGATTAAAGGCGTGTGTACCATCTATGCTTGCTTAATGGCAAATTTGATTTCTGCTCAGGTGCCTTTTGAAACATGAGAATTGTTTTATTTTCTGGTGCCAAGGATTGAACTCAGGGCTTCACATATGCTTTGCATAGCCCAGCCCACTAATGAGTACCCTATCCCAAACAAGTGAACCTTGCTGTAGAATTCAAGCCTTTATTCATTATTGTTGTTGTCTAGATGTCTGATTTCTAATTGTGTACTTGAGGGCTAGTAGAACTAGTCCTTTTTTTTTTTTTTTTTTTGAGCCAGGCTGGCCTCGAACTCAGAGATCCTCCTGCCTCTGCCTCCTGAGTGCTGGGACTAAAGGCATGTTCCACCATGCCTGTCTTAGAACTAGTCTTTTCAGTTTATCTATGAGTGTTCTGTCAAGAGGTGCTTCCTTTGACTATATTAGAGGTGGGGACAAAAATGATATGCATTTGGGTTGCAAAGAAAGAACTGATAGTGAGCACTGGGTCTAAGGAACATCTCTGTGAAACCTGATGAACTCGGTCACTTGGATGGTAGACTGATGGTTGAGTTTTTTCATGTGTATGATCTATGTATGTGTGTGCCTGGAGGACAGAGGAGGACTAAGGTTATTCTGTCATACGAGTCATACTAGTCTACTTTTCTCTACTCAGGGTCTCTCACTGAACCTGGGGCTAGGCTAGTGGCTAGTAAGCACCAGCAAGCTGTCTCCCATAGCACTGGGGTTACAGGTACACAAACATCATCTGGCTTCTGGGGATTTGAACTGAGGTCCTCATGATTGTGCAGCAAGCACTCTTATCCATTGAGCCTATTGAGATTTTTTTTTTTTGAGGGATTGGTATTTATTTTTATGTGTGTATTTGTGGCTGTGTAAATTTATATGCTCCACACATCCACAGGAGCCTGTGTGGATTAGAAGGGGGCATTGGAGCCATTGGAACTGGAGTTATAGGAGGTTGTGAGCTGCTGTGTGGGTGCTGGGAACTGAACCAAGGTCAGCAAGTTTAGGTAAGAGTTCTTAACTGCTGAGGCATCTCTCCAGAGATTTATTTTATGTGTATGAATGTTTTGTTTGCATGTATTTATGTCTACCATTTGTGTGCCTGATGCCTGAAGAGGGCATAAGATCTCCTTGAACAGAAGTTAATGGATGGTTGTGAGCCATCTTGTGGGTACTGGGCACCAAACCCAGGTTTTCTGAACAAGCAACAATTACTCTTAACCACTGAGTCATTTCTTCAGTCCCTGGTTGACCTTTTAAAGAGGGAACAACAGGCTGGGCAATAGTGGTGCATACCTTTAATCCCAGCACTCAGGAAGCAGAGGCAGGTGGATCTCTGAGTTCGAGGCCAGCCTAGTCTACAGCGTGACTTCCAGGGCAGGCTTTAAAGCTACAGAGAAACCCTGTCTGAAAAAAAAGCAAACAAAAAAGGAAGAAAGAAAGAAAGAAAGAAAGAAAGAAAGAAAGAAAGAGAAAAAAGGAAATGGTACAGACTTGTGTCAGCCAAGTATAGTGGTACACACATGGAGTCTGATGATTGAAAGTTCAAAGCCAGCCTAGAATTACAGTATTAATTTTGAGGCAAGTTTAGACTACTTCGGAAGAGCCCGTGTCTTCAAAGTGACACAAACAAGTTCATCTCCTGGTGTCAGTGGGGCCAGAGTGGGTGCCTTACTGCATGGGTGCTCACTGGAGCACCCATGGCAAAAGGAGTAGGATAGGGCAGCAAAGGGATAGATGGTTTTAATTATAGCTTCACCAGGCTCAGCCCCATGACTGATCCTGTGGCACGTGAAAGCTGGTGATGGTGCAAGACACTGGCTTAGCTGGCTGCTATCTGGAGCAGTGGCCATGGTGAATAATTTTTTTCATCATGATAGGTGCCATATAGGTCAAGGGGAAATTCTGGGAGGAGGCCATAAACTCTAAAATGGGATGACTTGGTAGGCTATTCCATTGAGAGTTGCAGATCCCCCAGTACGTGGCCTTTGATGACTTCACTAGAATCTCATCATTCTTGCTTCAGACCAAGCCTGTCTCATGTGCTGGCTGCTCACTGGCCTAAGATAGGCCACTTTCTGCTTCTTGCTCCATGCCTTTGCTTATTCTTTTTGTTTGTTTGTTTGTTTGTTTAAGACAGGGTTTCTCTGTGTAGCCCTGGCTGTCCTGGAACTTTGTAGACCAGGCTGGACTGGAACTCAGAGATACGCCTGCCTCTGCATCCGGAGTGCTGGGATTAAAAGGCATGCTCCACCACTGCCCAGCTGAAGTCTTCTAAAATTTCTTTTTATTATAAATTTTTACATTTATTTAATTTCTTGTGTGTTTGCATGCACAAGTGTGTACCAGTAATTTGTTCTTCCTTTATCGTGTGGGTTCTGGGTCTCAGGTTGTCATGCTTGGTAACATGTGCCTTTACTTGCCAAATTGTCTCACCTAGCCTATATTTCTTATTTCTCAAGTAACAAATTTGAGCTTCCAAGCTGTTGACTGGAAGTGGCAGAAGCACTGTACAGGTTTGTGAGTTTTTTTCCTGGGCGTTGTACCAGGCAACCCAACATGCCTTTAAACACCAGCTTCCCAGGCATCCCAGCCAAGCATTTTCCTCTTCACTCCTTGGGCCCTTTCTCTGTTACTTCAGGTCTTATGTGGCTCATCTCCACTACAGAGAGCCCCCTAGGCTTGGGTCACAAGCTTGGTCATGTCTGAATGTACCAGGCTCAGCTCTCTAATGGGAACTAGGAGGTCAGATAAAATAGCAGCAGGAACAGACATGTGGGAAGCTGAGTCTTTAGTTTCTAATTCATCAGCTGTTAGGAACAGAGCACTGTGGGAACTCTGTGTTTCTCTTGAGTACTGATCTGAAAAGCCTTGGGGCATGACAACCAAGTGAAAGCCACTCTGGTAGATTTCCACCAGGGTTGGAGGTAGAAGGTAAGGAATGTTGTAAATAGAGTAACCCTGGCACACAGCAAATCTCTTTTCAGGCCCCTAGAAGCCCATGGACTGTGGCCATGATTGAGGCAGAACTTGAGGTGTAGTGAGGTGCAAAGCTGTCCATTAGCCTTCCTGTTTCATGGGGCCCTGTTAGCTCTCACCATGGTGGCATCAAGGGCCCTTCTCACCTCTGCAGCTCCTTGGCTATGTGAGAAGTCAGCAGAGCCAGAGCAGTGCACGTGGGAGTGCTGGAGGCACACGTACTATTTGAGCCTCCTCAGCATATGGTCTCCCCTTCTCTAGCAAAGAGAACCCCCAAGATTTCAGGCTTTCTATACCAGTTAAATTACTTACCCATTTTACTTTGGCCCTGGGGATCTTCTCATTAGGGCAGGTTATGTCCACGCTCTCTAGGAGTTTCTCAACTTGCCCTTGTGTGGTCTCACTCATCAGTACTCAGATTGGTTATGAAGTCTGCTACTTTTCCTTGTTCCTTTAATCTCTAACTGAAAACTGCTAGAAGGGAAAGATAATAGGGTGATCTTTATATATCATGCAGTCTTCCCACCCCCACCCCCCACCTGACAGGGTTTCTCTGTAGCCCTGGCTGCCCTGGAACTTGCTGTGGAGACCAGGCTGGCCTGCAATTCACAAAGATCCACCTGCCTCTGTCTCCCCAGTGCTGGGATTAAAGGTGGGCCACCTGGTTCCTGCAGGTTCTTGTAGTTGATGCTCTGGTTGCCTTTTCAAATAGAACAAGAAGCTGCTCTAAACAGCAGCAATCAACTGTTTAGACTGGGGCACCAACTCTGCTTACTCTCTTGGTTCCTTCTGGATCTCACCTGAATGGCTTTCTAGACGGCAGCACTTTTGTCTACATCATTCATCCAGATGTTAGGCTGCCTCATATGGCAGAGACTGTCTTGTTTGGTTTTGTGTTAGCCACAGGGAGCCTGCCTTTATTCTTTACTCCAGGAAGGTTTGCTCCCAAATGAAATGTTAAATCTTCTCTGTGCTTCTGGAGGGCTCTCTGTTTCTGACCCCTGGAAATCCTACTTTGTCCCAGGTCCATTTCTTGTCTGATTTGGCCTACCAGTTAGGCAAATGACCTCATGAGCTGATGGCCGACAGAAAACTTAAGACACTTGGCTTCCTCTGTATTGTTGGCTCCTAGAAATCACCTAGCTTATAGCAGCCCCAGAGACATTATCTTGTAGGGGTTGTTAGCAACTGGAAAGTGACTTCTGCCACACTTCCATATTCCCAAGGCTGCTTCTACTGTCAATGAGGTCTGGGTGACTTGGTCACAGGTACAAGTTTGAGAAAGAGATTGGGAAATGAGTGGCTACTGCTCATGCCTCAGGCTGCCACCTACTTAGGTTGGCTCTGGCAGATGTTTGATTGATAAGGATGATTAGCAAATTTAGCTCAGCAGTATAGCTCCAATAAGCTCTACCTGTGTTTGTAAGGTCACTTCCTCCTCACCTCCTCCAGTCTCTCTGTTGTTTCAGTGCTGGGGATTGAACCCAGGAACTTGTGTTCATGACCATTAAGTAATCTAGCAACAACATGTACCTGCCCCCCAGTTTTATTGTGCATGTATATGAATGTGAGCATGTACATGCCACGTGTGTGGAGGGCAGAGGATAGCTTTCATGAGTTGGTCCTCTCAGGTCTTCAAATGCATTCAGCAAGCACTTTCACCCATCCAGTTATGTCACCAGTCCTGTTTTGGAGAAACTTGTTTGGTCTTATATAGCCCAGCTGGCTTCAAAGATACTTTGTAGCCAAAGATTACCTTGAATTCCCAATCCTTTTGTCTTCTTCCCTAGTGCTGGGATTATAGCTGTGTCACCACACTCAGAATGCAGCCCAGTTTTTTTTTTTTTTTTAAGATTTATGTACTTTATGTATATAGGTGCTTCGTTGGCATGTACATCCGCACACCAGAGGAGGACATCAGGTCCCACGGGATTAGTTATTGACTTGTGAGCCACCATGTGGAGGTTGGGAACTGAACTCAGGACCTCTGGAGGAGCAGACAGTGCTCTTTATTTTTATTATTATTATTATTTTTTGAGACAGGGTTTCTCTATGGCTTTGGAGGCTGTCCTGGAACTAGCTCTTGTAGACCAGGCTGGTCTTGAACTCACAGAGATCCACCTGCCTCTGCCTCCCCAGTGCTGGGATTAAAGGCGTGCACCACCACTGCCCGGCTCTTCACTGTTTTTCTTAGCTTAGCCCCGCTTGTTTGGAGCTGTAGTTATGGGGTCCCTGTGCCAAGGCCATCAAGAGGAAAGAGCCCAGGAGTTCTAAAATGTTTTTCAGTGGTGCTGAATAAAGGTGTGTGCCACCAACACCTGCAGCCTAATTCTTAAACATTTTTTCTCCTTTTTTGCTTTCTGCAGTTTGAGTGGTAGTTAAACAGAGGGATCTTATATTTGACTCTAACCAGCACACATCCCCTAGCTGACTGGATACTTCTTTCTTCCTTAATCATTCCCTAATAGTTCAAACTTTCTCCTGAAGACTAGTTTCTGCCCTTATGTAAGAAAGGATCTGGCTCAATGGACAACAATGCTGTATAGTTCTGGAGAACAAATCCTAGTTTTGAGCTAAATAATCCCCTTCCTTAATCCTGTCACTTAATTCTCTGGCAGTTATACAACAGCCAATGCGGAATCTGACTATGAGCGGGACTCTGACAAGGAGAGTGAGGCTGGTGAAGATGAGGTGAGCTGTGAGACCGTGACGACGGGGAGAAAGGACTCTCTGGACCTTGACGTGGAGGTAGCTTCAAGTCTAGCCTCTGGTGCCTTGGAGACTGGTGGCTCCTCAGACCTCGAGGACATGCTGCTGCTCCTGCAGCAGGCAGATGAGCTGCACCAGGGCAGCGAGCACAACAAGCGGAAAGGCTTCCAGCTGCTGCTCAACAATAAGCTGGCGGTGAGACTCCAACTGTTTCCCTTCCTCCTTTGTGCTCTCTTGAATCTCACACTCCCAGGGAATGAAAAAAAAACAAAAACCCCCACATGGTTTCCAACTCAACAAAGCCACATGGGAAAGGAGATAGGGTCCTGAAGCAGTGCTGCCTACCCCACAGCTTCCTGCCCAACAAGGTTTTCTTCCTCCTGTAGAACTCCAAGGAGCTCTCTCTCTCTCTGCAGAGGCTAATGCAAAGGACCCGAATACTTGTGACCTCCACCCCCAGCTCCCCACCTACTTTCTTCCATTTTCCTTGAGACAGCCTGAATCTGCCTGCCCTACTTGAAATTTCTATTATAAGTGACATTGTGTAGGTCATTCAACAATTCCCTCAGGCTCATAAAACCAAATTTATTCTCTAAATTCCTCCCTGAAATTAGAAATCACTCTCTACCCCTTGAGGCAGGTCTTAGTAAGTAGCCCTGGCTGGCCTCAAACTAATACAGATCCATGTTCCTCAGCCTCTTGGGTGCTGGGATTAAAGGTGCAGGCCACCATGCCCAGCAGAATTCTCCCTTTGAGCAGTTTCATATGTCAGCCAAAGACGACTTCTGCTGTGCCTCATCATATCTTCTTGAAGTTGACCTTCCATCTTGGCAATGTTAGGATTAGGAGGCCAAATGTTCTTATCCAGTGATTGTGCAAGCTATCAACTAGAGACAACGTATCCAGTTAACTGTGCATGGCCGCCTGTCATGGAGTGGGCTGTGCACAGGGGTTGCCAGATGTCAGTGATTATACTACTGTCTTGGAAACAAACACACAGTGTGGGGAGAAGACCAGGGCCCCATTTCTCATGGATGAGGAGACTCATTTCTCCTTTTTGGTCTATAGTATGGAAACCGACAAGACTTTCTGTGGCGTCTGGCCCGGGCCTACAGTGACATGTCTGAGCTTACTGAGGAGGAGAGTGAGAAGAAGTCATATGCCCTAAATGGTAAATGCTGACAGGTACCTGATGGGAATGTTACCATCTGTGCAGCTACAGCTGGGCCATTTGTTTGAGGCCCAGATGCTGTCAGGGCAGGAATAGTATAGTCACTTAGTGGGGACAAACTGGCTTCCAAGGCCTCTTACTCCCTAATGACACAGTAGCATAGGTGCTTGTTGTTTTTACTGTTTATGTTGTGGTCATACTGTTTTTTGCTTTGACTTCCCAACCAGAAAGAAGGGGTATCCTTTCTTAACCGGAGTCAGCAGGGCAGAGATTCTGAGACTGGGTGTACTATGTATGTGTGCACCCAAGAGAAGTAGTTTGGGAGATTATTGCTGGCTTAATTTGTTTCCTAAGTCTACTTTGGAAGATGTAATGCAACTGAACCATGCTGCCCTTAGGACTTGGCCTTGTCAATCATGAAGTAAGAGAATCTGGGAAGCCGGGTGGTGGTGGCACACACCTTTAATCTCAGCACTCAAGAGGCAGAGGCAGGGGAATCTCTGTGAGTTGAGACCAGGCTGGTCTAAAAGAGCTAGTTCCAGGACAGCCTTCAAAACCACAGAGAAACTCTGTCTCAAAGAACAAAAAACAAAAACAAAGCAAAACAAAACAAAACAAAACAACAGAGAGAGAGGGAGGGAGAGAGAGAGAATCTTGGAACTTTAAAATCTGAATGAATAAACTGGGTGTGGTAGATCATACCTGTAATCTCAATACTTAGGGGCTGAGTCAGGAAGAATGCAATGAATTCGAGGCCAGCCTAAGTTACATTGTGAGTTTCAGGTTCAATTATTATTTAGTTTTTCTCTTTAAAGATTTCTCCTTTTATATAGGTATTGGTAGCATATACCAGTACTACCCAGCATTTAGGAGGATCGAATTTGAGGTCAGCCCAAGTTATATGGGACCCTGTCTTAAAAATAGACTTGTCAGGTGGTGATGATGCACACCTTTTGTCCCAGCACTCATGAGGCAGAGGCAGGCAGATCTCTGTGAGAGAGTTCCAGGATAGCCAGGTCCACGCAGAATAACTGTCTTAAAAAAAAAATAAAAAACGGTCTGGAGAGATGGCTCAGTGGTTAAGAGCACTGGCTGCTCTTCTAAAAGATGTGAGTTCAATCCCAGCACCTATGTGGCAGCTCACCACTGTCTGTAACTGTAACTACAGGAGGTCCAACACCTTCACACAGACACACATGCAGGCAAAAACACCAATGCACAAAAACAAACAATTTAAGAGGAAAATAAAAAAAATTAATTATTGGAGACAGGGCTTTACTATATAGCTGTTCTGGAACTGGCCTCCAATTTTCAGCAATTCTTTTACCTCTATCCCCTAGGGCTACAACACTACACTTAAGGAAAAGAAAAATTTTTTTGGGGGGGGGGGTTGAAGAGATGGCTCAGCAGTTAAGAGCACTGGCTGCTCTTCCAGAGGACCTGGGATCAGTTCCTAGCACACAAGGGTGGCTCACAATAATTCCAGTTCTGGGGATTCAGATGCCCTTTTCTGGTCTTTGTGGGACACTAGACATATATGTAGGCAAAACACCCCTAGATGTTAAAAGGTTTGTTTTAGTTGGGTCAATGGTGGCACATGCCTTTAGTCCCAGTAGTTGGGAGGGAGAGGCAGGAGGATCTCTGAGTTTGAGGCCAGCCTGATCTACAGAGCAAGTTCCAGGACAGGCTGGACTGTTACACAGAGAACCTCTATCTCCGGATTGGGGGTGGGGGGTGGGAAGGTGGGGATTTGTTTTATTTCTTGGTGATGGTTCCGATCAGTACTTGTGCTGTTTTGATCTCTTGGTACCAACAACCAAAAAGATTTCTTCTGACCATTTCTCATTTCTCCCCATATGGTGTTTTTGTTTGTTTCAAGGCAGGGATTCTCTGCATAGGCTATCCTGGAACTCACTCTGTAGACCAGGCTGGCCTCCAACTCAGAGATCTATCTGCCTCTGCCTAAGGGTGTTGGGATTAAAGATGTGCACCACCACCCAGCTGATAGAATTCTTGAAAATCAGTGTGGCAGCAAAAGCATTGGAAAATAGTCTGAGCATAGGCTGAGGCAGGAAGGTCATGAGTTTGAGGTTACCTGGGCTACACAGTGAGATTGTCTTAAAAAAAAAAAAAAAAGAGTCTGGAAGATCTGCAAGGGGCAGGGCTGATGGCTAAGTGGATAAAGTGCTTGTTGGGCAAGTGTGAGGACCACAGGTTGTATCCCCAGCATTCATGTCCTGGGTGGACACAGTGGTCTGCCTTTAATCCTAGTACTTAGAAAGCAGAGGTGGGATCCCTGGGGCATGCAGATCTTTATGAGTTCGAGGTCGGCCTGGTCTATAGAGCAAGTTCCAGGATAGCCAGGACTATGCAGAGAAACCCTGTCCGTAAAAACAAACATCTTAAATCATGAACACTTTTCTAAATAAAATATAATCTTATCTAAATTTCAATACAACCTTATTGATAACATGAGCATCCTTAAGCCTGTCTATAGATCCTTCAGAGTAAGATCTGTTGGAGAGTTTCTGTTGGTTCCTTTCTCATACTAAATATTACAATTTACTTTAAGAACGTCCAGTAGGCATAGAGATGGCAGGCTGGAGCCAGGCACATCACTACTTGTAATCTCAGTACTTGGGGGTGGAGGCAATCTCAAGTTCAGGGCCAGTCTGAGCTACATGGGGAGCCCATATCTCAAAACAAAAAACAAAACAGAGACAGTTAAAGCTAATGGAGATGGAGCAGCTGTATGCAAAGCAAGTGGTCATTCTTCCTGCACTGCTTCTAGTTCATGTGTTAACTAGACACACCCTGTTAACTCTGGGTCTACCTCTGTCTTTCAGGAAAAGAAGAAGCAGAGGCTGCTCTGGAGAAGGGAGATGAGAGTGCTGAAAGTCACCAGTGGTGAGAACACCCTGTAGGCCTTTAGAAAAGCCAGAATAGACCTTTTTGTCTACCCTGGCAAGAGGCATTTGGTAAAGAACTAGGGTGGGGGGCACTAGTCTGAATTCCTACACGTTCACCATACCCCCGTCGTCAGGGCAAGGAAGTGTGCTTTGGGAGATGCTTTGGAGGTTAAGGCCAGGGAAAACACAAGCATTACTCTGCTAGGGCAAACAGGACTGAGTTTCTTTCCAAGAGTCACTCTGGCCACACTTGGTTTTGAGTTCTTCAGGGAAGCTGAGACAACCTGCAATTCCTGTCCTGCAAAAGCTCTTTTCCCTAGCTGTGATCCCTGGCTGGTAGTAGACATTGGCTTCTTTGGTTGGTTTGCATGAGAAAAAGATGTGAGCTTATACCCAAGAAATTCAATGATCAACTTAAAAGAACTTAATAGCTTCCTGGGCTAAGGGTATAGTACAGTGGTAGAATGCTTGCCTAGCACACATAAGTAAGGCCTTGGTGCCACATTCAGCACCACACAAAAATAAACCCAAAAGACTCCCCCAATGAGTCCTTTGTGGTCTTTCAGGAGACAAGTTTTGCCAGCTGGCTTGTGAGAAGGCCAATTCATGTCCCGGGCCCTGATTCCAGCATCTGTTTTAGTTAAAAAATGGTTCATTCTTCTTCCACTGTCCTTTGCTTTTCAAATCTCTACCCTCAGATTGTAAGCTGAGAGGCTGTGTTTTTCCATCTATGGCTGAAACTTTCCGTGCAAAGGGTCTGCTCAGAAGCCAGGTAACTGTTTCTAGGTGTCATTGTTCTCCCTGGGCTCTCAAGGATGAAAACTGGCAGGTTTTTTTTTTTTTTTTGGTTATTCCCAAGGAACAGCTATTTGGATTGTACATGGAAATGGGCCCAAGTGTCTGATACAAACATATTCTCCCACCCCCACAAGATATTTAGCAAATATATGAAAAAGAAACTCAGGCATGGGAAGATACTGTTAGCTTTGCTTCTAGTACTGGGGCAAAGGACAGGTAGTTAAGTCCTTCTGGTTTCTGTATATGTGTGGTGCTGGGAATTGACGTCAGGGTCTTGTACTGTGCACTCTACCACTGAACTAAGTTGCCCACTGCCCTTAGAAGTTTGGGTTGGAGGTGGGGTGGTGAGGTGGCTCAAGTAGATAAAGGCAGGGCAAGTCTGGGGACCGGAGTTTGAACCCCAGAATACATAAAGGTGTAAAGAGAGAACTGACTCCACAAAGTTGTCCTCTGACCTTCACATTGTGTTGTGGAATGTGTTTGTAAACACACATTAAGTTTAAAATTTATATAGTTCAGTGGCTAGGAACACACACTACTCTTCCAGAAGACTCAAGTTCAGTTACCAGGTCCCAAGTCAGGTGGCTCCCAACTGATGCCTTCTTCTGGCCTCACTGGACACCGCTCACATGCACATTGTTATAAACAGACACATTAAAAAGTTTGGAGTTGGGCTGGAGAGATGGCTCAGAGGTTAAGAGCACTGACTGCTGTTTCAGAGGTCCTGAGTTCAATTCCCAGCAACCACATGGTAGCTCACAACCATCTATAATGAGATCTGATGCCCTCTTCTGGTGTGCAGGCATACATGGGGGCAGAATGTTGTATACATAATAATAAATAAATAAATAATAAATAAATAAATAAAATCTTAAAAAAAAAAAAGTTTGGAGTCTCCTGGCATCTCAAATGGCACTTGTCACTAAACAAAGACCATACATATGCTAGGCAAGCACTTTACCACTGAGCTACATTTCCCAGCTCCTGTAAGACAAACACTAATTTGTTCCTCTGTTTCACTGGTTCCCATGTTAAAAAAGGGCCATGAGCATTTCATTCGACTATGCCGGAAACACGACTCCTACCTAATGATACATCACCTATATGTTTCTTAATCTAGAGACCTTCTAATATACAGTCAGAGGTAAAATAGTAAGAACACACTTAGACGTCTGTCTTGTACTTCCATGATGATTTCTTAAATTGTAGGATTGGAGTCAAACCCAGAGCCTCACATGATGGCAGGTCACTAAGCTGTGACCTAACTACTCTTCTAAGTTTTCATAATACTCTATGAAAAAGGGACATTTAAAGATCTGAGTTGAGACCTTGTGTGTTTTTGTTTTACACAGGGTTTTGCTATGGTAGCCCTCTCTAGTTTGGTGATATAGATAGAGAGATAGATAGATAGATAGATAGATGTAAATATCTCAGGCTGGCTTCAAACTTGAGACAAGCCTTCTGTCTCTGCCTCGAGTGATACAATTACTGAAATGTGCCACCACACCTGGCTAAATGTTTTAAAGTATAAAGGAGGGATTTACTTTGTTTGTGTGTGCTGGGGTTGTCCAGCAGGGAGAGAAAGGGCCTAAAAACAAAACAAAAACCAAAAAGCAAAACTTACAATTACTTTGGAGAATTATTGTAAGTCTACTACTAAGTATTAACTGGGACATGATGAATCTAAGAGGAGAGTATTATTTAGAGATGAAAAACACATTTTCAATTATACTTACTTAGAAGGCAAGTGTAACTACACATGGGTGTTACTCACATTCCCTGCACTCATAGTCCAGTCCTTGTCCCTGAGCTTGCCGCTTCCCCCCTCAGGTATGCAGTGCTTTGTGGTCAGCTGGCTGAGCATGAGGGCATCTCCAGGCGTATCCAGAGTGGCTTTAGCTTCAAGGTGAGGACAGGCTTCTCTTTCCCTTGTGCTGGCCCAATCCCATTCCTTGCTTCCCTAGACTGGCTTTCCCAATGTCTTGGTGCTTTGTAGCTCTTTACTGAGGAACTCTGGGTTTGATGTTAGTTTGTATTTTTCTCTTCAGGAACATGTGGACAAAGCCATTGCACTTGAGCCAGAAGATCCTAGGAGTCACTTTCTTCTTGGCAGGTGGTGCTACCAGGTGAGCTATAGTCCAAGGCCTGAGATGTTCCTGTCAGACTAATCTCCAGCACGGTCCTCAATGTTCATCCTATTGGCAGATGTCTCTGTTGTATGTAGCCCAGGCTAGCCTTAGACTAATGATCTCTCTGCCTACAGGTGTGACACTATGTCTAGAGATTGCTTTTAATGCACAACATTCTGTATATACTATTCCTAAAGAAACTTCTGACAGTGCTGGTGACTGAATATAGGGAGTCACACTTGATAGACACTCTGCTATAAAAGCTATCCTGAGAGAAGTCTCCTTCAGTCCTGTGAGCACTGTTTAGGTCGAGAATTGGCAGCTAGTGACCTTACATTGCAGAGCCATCCTGGTAGCCTGAAACTTTTTTTTTTAGAGACTTGAGTTCATGTAACCCCAGGCTGTCTTTGAACTGATTTTTCTGCATCTAGAGTGTTGGGATTAGAGGCACAGGGCACCATGTTTGGCCCAACAAATGTCTTAAAACCTTCTATTTAGCCAGGCAGTGGTGGCACACATCTTTAATCTCAGCATTCAGGAGGCAAAGGCAGACTGAGTTCAAGGCCAGCCTGATCTACAAGAGTGAGTTCCAGGACAGCCAGGACTGTTACATAGAGAAACCCTGTCTTGAAAAACCAAAACCAAACCAAGCCGGGCGGTGGTGGCGCACACCTTTAATACCAGCACTCGGGAGGCAGAGGCAGGCGGATCTCTGTTTGAGCCCAGCCTGGTCTCCAAGAGCTAGTTCCAGGACAGCCTCCAAAAGCCACAGAGAAACCCTGTCTCAAAAAACCAAAAAATAAATAAATAAATAAACAAACAAACAAATAAATAAATAAAAAGGAAGAAAAACCAAACAAAAAAACCCCACAACCTTCTATTCACACTATCATTTTTTGGTGGCAGGTCTCTCACTTAAGCTGGTTGGAAAAAAAAACAGCTACAGCTTTGTTTGAAAGCCCTCTTAGTGCCACTGTGCAGGATGCGCTCCAGAGCTTCCTAAAGGTATCAGAAGGGAATGGTGGGTGGAAGCCCACACTGGCTTTGTTCTCGAAGGTGTGTTTCCTAGTTGGGGATAGTTTTGTACTTACCTTATTTTGAGGGAAAATCAGAACTACGTAGTGTTTATAAAAGTACTAATTTCCTGGCACACTAAATCAATCTTATTATATAGAGCTTTCTAGTATGTAAACGTCAGCTTGAACTGAATTTATGAACCTCTAATAGAGGGATTTTCTTCTTTCTCCAGGTTGAAGAACTACAGCCAGGATTTTCAAAAGCTGGACGAGTATATATTTCTAAGGTAAATTCACCTTCAACATAGGTGAAAACAATGTTGTATTTCTGGGATCAAAGAGTCTATGCTCTGCCACTGAGTTATCCGTTCTGTTAAGCCCCTATTTTTTGAGAGCTTATATTGAGAAGTGTTCTAGTAACAAGATTCTCAATAGTTCAAGCTGACCTTTAACTCATGGCAATCCTCTTGCCTCTGATTGTTGAGTGAGGTTATTAGCTATAAGCCACCATATCCCCCCTGCCCCTGCCCACTGGATTTTTCAAGGCAGGGTTCTGTGTGTAGCCCTGGCTGTCCTGGAACTCACTCTGTAGACCAAACTGGCCTCTGGGATCAAAGGCATGTGCCACCACTGCCCTGCCTTTCCCCCCTTTTGAGACATGGTCTTGATATATAGACCATCTGCATGTACCTCCTGAGTGCTGGGATTAAAGGTGTGCACTGTCATCCTCAGCTTCTGGGTACACATATACATGGGTCTTTCTGATCTCTTCATGTTTTTAAGTTTTTCATTGTTCTTTCTTCTCAGTGCTATAGAGAGTTAGGAAAAAACTCTGAAGCTAGAAAGTGGATGAAGTTGGCTCAGGAGCTGCCAGATGTCACTAATGAGGTAAGAGAGTAATTTCTTTAAGAACAGTATTTCAAAATGTAGCTTTAGTCTGGCCTCCATCTGACCATCTTGTCTGAGCCTTCCAAGTACTAGGATCACAGCAATATACTACAACTTAGCTTGGTAATACTTTGTGTGGGGATGGTGTGTGTCCTGATTCATGGTCAGAACCACCCTCAGGTTTTGGTCCTTGCCTTCCACCTCCTTTGAGACAGGGTCTCTTTGTTTTCACCACTATGCATGTTGAGCTAGCTGGACAAAGAGCTTCAGGGGATTGAGTCTCCATATTCTTTTCTCATCTCACTTAAGAGATCACTGGCTACACCAGCTGTGTTACTATATTTACATCCTAATGCTAAAACGGCAGATGTTTTACTAGCCCCAGGCTCCAGTAAAATTTTTAAAAGAACCTTTAAATACTGATTCACAGAGTCACCTTTCCCAGGAAAGAAAGTTTACCATTTTATGTGGAGTTTCCTACATGCTATGCAATCTTTCTCCTCCCTTATGTAAGGTAGGAAATGGAGGAGACAGATTGCATAGACTCCAAACCATTGTGGAGAAAGTTAGGAAGACTGGTAGTAGTAAGGGCCCTTATCAGGTTCTAGTGATTAGGGGAAAGCTTAATTCTGATTCTGTACTAGATTTGCTTTCTTTGTCTCCTAGGATTCAGCTTTACAAAAAGAATTGGAAGAATTGGAAGTAATTTTAGGAAAATAATCACTTCAATGACTTGGGGGCTACTATTTAAATGGAGAAAAGAAAATCAAGTTGCTTTTTTTTTTTTTTACCCCTGTGACCCCACTGAGTTCAGGAAACCAAGCAAGATTGGTTTAGAGGATGTCTTGACCTCTGAGGTCTGACTGCTACTACCATCATCCCCCAACTTCCTATGTTATCAGTTAATTTATTATAATCTCTTAATCTAAAACTGGGGATGGACTTGCAGTTTAGGCTTCTGCTTTCTTCCTCTTAAGTGAATTCCTGAAAAATCAAGACAGTATAGCCAGCCATAGGGTTAACTGTGGAGGCAGCACAAAAGGTCAAGAGCTGAGGGCGGTGTCTTCCAACTGTCAGCGATGAACATCAAAAGAGCCAAGGCGACAAAGCATAGGACTTGTACTATTTTTGCTAATATTCAACACGTATTTATTGTCCTAAAGTCAATACCCTACCTGTGAAGACAAGGAGTCGCCAGCACAGCTCAGTTTCTGCCCTCTTGCCACCCATCATGTAGACTCTACCTGTATTCTTTGGGTGAGGGGCTGGACCACATGACTTCCAGAGTTCTGGCAGCTTTTGGGAAGACAGCACTGACTAGCAAAGGGTTTATTAATATATTTGAAAATGACCTGAAGAGGTGCCTGAAATATTTTTTTGGTACAAATTTGAAATAAACTAAATTTGATTAGAAGGATAATTTGTCTGTTTCCATTATTTGGCTATCCCAGAATTTTTTTCCTTCCACAGAGGAAATTGACAAAAATAGTGCACCAAAACACTTTCGGCTCTTTATGTTTTCAGTAAAAAAAAATTTTGACTTGTGTAAGTGTATATCACATGTGTGTTTATGAGAGGGAGGCCAAAAGAGGAATTGGGTCTGGAGCTAGAGTTACAAGCTCTCTGAGCCACTTGACATGGGTGTTGGGAATGGGACTCAGGTTCTCTGAGAGCAGCAAGTGCTCTTCATTGCTGAGCTATCCCTTCAGCAGTAAGAAATAGTAGTCTTTTTCTATCAAACACTATTAAAACTTGGGTTTAGGATAAGACTTTGTTTTTGTTTTTCAAGACAGCATTTCTCTGTGGCTTTGGAGGCTGTCCTGGAACTCGCTCTATAGACCAGGCCTGCCTCTGCCTCCCAAGTGCTGGGATTAAGGCGTGTGCCACCAATGCCCGGCTAGGACAAGAAATTCTAATCTTTATCTCACTACTTTGTAAATTTCATATGCAAATGTTTTAATCCTTCCCCTCCCCTGGAAAACCTTTGTTTACACAGAGGTGCCCCACTGCATTCCAGAAATGATGGCCTAGAACAGAGAGAAACCCCTTTCCTCTTCCTTGTAGATTAGGCTGTCCTAAAATTCAGAGATCCACCAGTCCCCCCACCATAAACATTTATTAGCAGCTGGAGAGATGGCTTAGTAGCTATAGGCATTTGCTGCTTACAGAGGACCCAGGCTCACACAGTGACTCAAAACCATCTGTAACTCCAGTTCCTGAACATTTGATGACTTCTGATCTCCATGGGTACCAGGCAGGCATACATGGAATGTATGTATATACACATGCAGGAAAAACACACACACATTAAAAAAAAAAAAAAAAGCATGTGTAATGGACATGCTTCCAGAGTTCAGAAGGTGTTAGATTCCTCTGGAACTGAAGTTAAAGTTGTTTGTGAAGCTACCTGATATGGGTATTGGGAACTGAACTTTAGTCCTTCCAGAGAGCAAGCAATCGGACGATATTTAACTATTGAGCCATATCCCTGGAGCTCCCTTCCTTGACAAATTGTCAATTTTCAGCCTTGTGTCACTGGTGTAATCCTTTGTCCTGGGATGAAGCCAGTGCCCTCCAAATTCAGATCAGAGGCTTGTGTTGGTTTTTCATATATGTGATTTTCCCCCTGGATACCAGCCCAAAACTTGAACATGTTTTCCATGACATTCTGGGCCTCCTTACTGTTTCTCTTATCTAACTTAAAAAAACATGACAACTTCCCTAACTCTTCACTTCTTGGCAGCTGCTAGCATTTTCAGCTTTTTTCTTAAACATGAATAAAATTGCTTTTGACCAATGTAGAATGTCCTTCTGTATGCTGTGATTATGTGTTTCTCTTATTGGTTGATGAATAAAGCTGTTTCAGCCAATGGACAGGCAGAATTTAGTTAGTCAGGAAATCCAAACAAAGAAAGAGGGAGAAGGAAATCAGTCAGAAGATACTATGTAGTCACTGGGGAGGCCAGATACAAGATCACTGGTATGCTATACAGATTAGTAGAAATGGTTTAATTTATAAGAGAGAACTAACCAGTAATAAGCCTAAGCCATTGGACAAAAAATTATAAAGTCTGAGTGGTTATCTTATAAGCGGTTTTGCGAACCCAGTGGGCAGAGAAACTGGTCCAAGTGGGGCCAGCACAACAGAAAAAAATTCTTCCTCTACAGCTGGTGCCCAACGTGGGTTGCCAGGTAAAGCAAGATTTTGAGAGTTACAAGTTGTCTTTATTATGGGGATTCAAAGGGAAATGGGAGGGGCCAGAGGTTAAGAGCACTGACCGCTCTTCCAGAGGTTCAGAGTTCAACTACCAGCAACCACATGGTGGCTCACAACCATCTATAATGAGATCTGGTGTCCTCTTCTGGTGTGCAAGCAGGAACAGTGTATACATAACAAACAAACAAACAAACAAACAAACAAACAAATAAATAAAAAAAACAAGCCAGCAACAAGCCGGGTGTTGGTGGTGCACACCTTTAGTCCCAGCACTCGGGAGGCAGAGGCAGGCGGATCTCTGTGACTTCCAGACCAGCCTACTCTCCAGAGCAATTGCCAGGATAGGCTCCAAAGCTATACAGAGAAACCCTGTCTTGAAGTCCCCCGCCCCCAAACAACAACAACAACAAAGGGAAATGGGATTCAAAAGGAAATACAGACTCACAGAAAACTGGACAAGGTGGAAGCTGCCATGACCCGCCACTCTGCCCCAGGGAGATATGAACAACGGCACAAGCTTGCTTCTGCTCTGACCTCCCAAGTTACCAGTCACAAGTAGCACCTCAGACCACACCCAGAAGGGGTCAGTGATAGGCTGAATAAATTCCCAGATCATTTGAACTTCCTTCCAAACCTGTTTTGAAATTCTATATTAATGAGACTCAAGAGCCCAAAAAGAAAGAACAGTTTCTGGAAATATTCCTAAAGTAGAATCATTTTGCCAATGGTAGACCTCTGCAACACAAGACCTTAGAGAATAAAAACAAAGATCACAGACATGACATAGTAAATCAGCCTGGCAATCTCATGCCTAGGCAAAAGGATACAAGCACAGCAAACTGAATGTAGGCTTTCTTTAGTTTTCAAATCTTAAAACTATAGCAACTGGTCATAACTACTCAGTACCCAAAGATATTATGCAGATTATTTTGCAATTCTTAGTTTGCACAAGACTATCTCTCATAAAAAGCACATTTACTACACAAAACTACTTTTATTAGCAGCTGCAGAATGAATTTGCTTAGTAACTTAAAGAACACCTTGCAGGATATCTGACTGCACCGTGATACTCCAAGGCTATTAATAAAGTTAACCCTGAATCAGGGGGCAGAGCCAGCCACTAGCTGACCGAATTAGCCATGGAGACTTATTTTGGGGAGGGGACGGTTTTTCGAGACAGGGTTTCTTTCTCTGTGGCTTTGGAGGCTGTCCTGGAACTAGCTCTTGTAGATCAGGCTGGTCTCAAACTCACAGAGATCCACCTGCCTCTGCCTCCCGAAGGCTGGGATTAAAGGCATGTGCCAAAATACTTGGCCTTTGCCTCTTTCTAGATCATGTTTTTAACCCAAATATCTGACTCCCCAGTTTTTATTAATACAAGAACAATTTAGATAAATGCTACAAGGTGCACTATATAGCTGATGCCTCATGCAAGACTCCTTAACCAAAACATTTTTTTTTATGTGAGAGTTCAGTCATATAATTTTACAGTTTGCATCTTACATATAGAGAAAAAGAATGTGGCAAACACCAATTCCCACTGTTAAACATCTCAGGCATTTTATTTTACCATTATTGAGAAGTGAGAGAAAACTTAGGTCTTTCCAGCTTTACTTCTCTTGAAACATAAGACTGATAGCTGTTATTTCATATCTCTCCTCCAAACACCAAAGAAATCAGACATTAATATACTCTATAAGAAATATACTCTATAAAAAATGAACATATCAGATCAGTTTGAATACTGACCTGTCTCCTGTTTCTGCCACCAGAAAGCTGATACAATAATTGTTTTTCCTGGAAGCCATGTTCCGGTAGTCACATCAGGAAGAGCCCTGAAGAAGCCCAGAGAGCAGTCCTCTTCATTAGGCTATTTAGCATTTAAAAGATTATCACAGAAAAAAGGCCCTGATGATTCAGTCCTTGGCATCTCCTACTCCATCTGCATTAATGGCAAACATGGCTTCAGCTTCAGGGAGACAGGGAGAGTCATAGACTTTGCAGATTCTGGTCTCCCCTCTTCCTTTCCTCAGGTACAGCCTGACCCAAAGACAGACCAAAACACCAAGTTATAAACATTGCTATTCCCATGACAGAACTAACTGTTACAGACATGTGTAACTTCCTAAAAGGATTTATAGGATTTTTTTTTTTAGAGGAATCCATTTCTGCCATGACTCCGTTATTGAAAAGCTTGAAGAAGCAAACATTATTATATAATTATATAATTAAGGAGGCATATCAAATATTCATGTATTTTCCTCGCAAGTGAGAGATTTTACTATATGCAGGTGCTTTGTGTCTGTATGTGGCTATGTGCAGGTGCCTGTCAGAGGCCAGAATTGTCGGATCTTCTGGAGCTGGAGTTACAGGAGGTTGTGAGCCACTTGTAGGTGCTGGGAACTGAACTCAGGTTCTTTATAAGCTCAGAACATGCTCATAATCACTGAGCCATCTCTCCATCTGCACAACAAATTTAGTGAGGCTTCCTAAGTGTCTATCCTGTAGCAACATTAAGAGGGCTGAAGTGGAAGTGTTTTACTTTATGTCTATCATCATAGTGTATGTGACACCCATCCCAGAGAGCCTCACCTGGTTGTTGATGCATGGGCAATGATGTTTCCTCCAATGGGTTTTTTGGGATCTGCAGTGAACATGGCTGCTCCATCCACTTGGGCTACTACCTGGTTGGTGATTACCACTGCTACACCAAACTGATAAGGGAAAGAATGTCAGTTTGGGACCACAGACATACCAAAACATTAATGCTCACAACAAAGCAATGGCTAACTAATGCTCATCTTTAATAATATAAGGTACTAATGTCCTCAGGAGGCTCCTACAATTTGTAGCCACTGAATTCTTGGTTTCTTTACTACAGCTTACCTCATCAGCAAGTCGCAGCAGCATCCTCAGAAATCTGGCCAAATGCATTTGCCTGGCTGAAAGCTCTCCTCGACCTGAGTAGTCTGTTCTGTAGAGGGCAGTAGCACTGTCTACAATAAGCAGTGCATATCTATAAGAAAAACAATTCTTTGTCAGAATCTTCTCCCTTCCCCACCACTCTAAAATTTGACATATATTGCACATTTTCCACTTTTTTTGACTCTAGGGTTTGTTACTTATGTAGCCCAGGCTGTTCTGAAATTTATGATCCTCCTGTCTCAGTCTCCCAAGTGCTAGGATAAAACATAAGAGCCACT